CAAACTAAAAGCTTGACAAAAGGAAGCAAGGAGACGGTGGATGTTTTGCAAATGGGAAGGGGTCGAGAGACTGATGGCAGGTGAAGAGGGGTAGAAGACGGAAAGATACTGAAGACAAACTGACGTGCCGGTTGCTTACGTGGACGTAGTCTTCACATGTGTAAACACCCACCAAAGTAGTAGTAGTGGTAACCATGGAGAAAGGGGACCTGGAGATGAGGGAGGGGGAGGGCAGGGGAGGGCAGGGGAGAGGAGGGGAGGAAGGAGAATCCAGATGTGCTCAGTGCACGCACCCCTCCCCAACAGGAGTGCAGACATCATGTGCTCTGAACTTGTACTAATAAAAAAATGGGTCAGGGGCTGGGGATTTAGCTCAGCGGCAAAAGCGCCTGCCTGGCAAGCGCAAGGTCGTGAGTTCGGTTCCCGGTACCAGAGAAAAAACCAAAAAATAAATAAATAAATAAATAAAAAATAAAAAATTAAAAAATGGGTCAAAGCTTTAAAGGAAGAGAAATAAAGCCACAGTATTACCCTGGGAATAACATGCATTCCACAAACAATAATGAGGGCAGCAAGGTTCCTGAAAGGCAAGCATTCTTCTTCATCGACATGTGACACTACCTCCTTACGAGATGAGTCCGTCTCCCTCAAATTTGTGCGTTGACACCTTCACCCTCAGGGCACCGTAGAAAGTGACTGCAGAGGTGGGGTCTTGGGTGATGTGTTTAGGCCAAAATGAGCCCTGTAGCGGGCTCCCACCTTCAGGAAGTGATGACTGTGACTCTTGTCCTCAAACAAGGAGCTGGGAGAAAACTGAGCAGCTTCAGTACGGGGACACGGGAGGAGGATCTTGCCATAGACCCCACACCACTGCCACCAAAGCAACAACTTCACCAGCCACAAACAAAACTTGCTCTGGAAAAACTTCAGAGCATACAGTGAGATGAAAAACTACAGTGAGTGTTTAATTTTTAAAAAACATATTACAGGAAAAGACACAGCCAGGCGTGGTGCACACCTGTAATCCCAGCACTCTGCAGGCTGAAGCAGGAGAGTCTCCATCAGTTCAAGGCCAACCTGGGCTGTGAATGGCCTTCAAATCCCTCCCCGACTATGAGCACACACTTCCCGCCATTCTTGGCTTCCCACACTTCCTGAAGCAGCTCTGGAGTCCTTTTTCCTGAGAGTCATTACTAGTGCTCTTGTGTCTGCCTTAATGTCCTGAATTAATTCAAAACTTTCCCTTTCGTGGTCATTTTGACTTAAAGATACAGAATACAGGTGATTCTGCAAAAGATAAACATTGGCCCTCAGACAGCCTAAAAACAAGGATGATTAGCAAAAGAGCAAGCAGTTGAAAATAGGGGAGGTAAAGGAAGTTGTTCCTCTTGCTGCTGCCACAAGGAGTCCGTCTCCAGTGGAGCTGACACCATTCATCCCTGGCGCCCTTATCTCTCCTCTCCCTCGGCCACCTTCCCCGTGTCCTTTGCCCTTGGCCCAGCTCCTCCCCAGGTGTCACAGCTGTCGCTGATGCTCCATGTGAAACTGGAGTCTCAGCTTCTCTACCCTGACTGCCTGTCCTGCTCCAGAGGATGCTGGGCCAGTGACGGGGGCCTGTGGCCTCCTCTATGGTCACTTCTGTGTTACCACTGGTGAAAAGGGTGAGCCTGGAAGGAGGCTGGTGGAGATATCACCTGCCAGGGCTGAGCCTCAGCTCTGGACGCCTTGTGACGAGTCTCTCGTGCTTGGCCTGACCAGCTCAGCTCCCCTCTAAGGAAAAGTAACTGTGGTCAGTGACCAGTGGGAAACCAAGCCAGGTAGTGCTATCCCCAGCTGACCCAGGAGCAGACAGGATGGCAGCATTGGAATCTGGAACAATGTGAGCGTTTTGCAATGTGGGACAAGTGCATTTCAAGAAAAATATTGCAAAGCACAACACGTCATAAAGATGCCGTGGACTACACAGTAAACATCTATGCAGCTGCAGAGTCTCAACATTCTGCTGATGTGACTTGTCTGAGTTGGAAGTGTATGGCTTCACATGTAATTAGCCATGAAATCTCCCTTTGCTCACATCACTCAATACACTGGAACTCATCTGATCTCAAAAGCTAAGAAAGGATGGGCCTCGTTAAAACTTGCAGGGGAAACCGTAAAAGATTTGAAGAGAATTCGCCTGTGGGTGGCACCAGGCTGACGCTGGGCACAACCTTTGCCAGGGAGCCATGAGGACAGTGCCCTGTGCATCTGGAGGCCCTGTCAGTCCTGCGAAGACAACTTTACTTCATCACAGTCTGGCCTTCAACTGCTCAGGCATGCACCCCCGAGTAAGATGATTTCAAAGACAGCAAATGAGAAGAAGCATGAATCCCTCTGGACCGCTCCTTTCCACAACCCCAGCTGAGCTAATTACATACCCAGAGCAGCCCAGGTCTCAGAGCACCCCGTCCAGGAATCTCAGGAGGCCACAACTCAACAAACCCCCACTCCTGGCTGGGCTCAGGAGCTGCATCTCTCTGTGGGTTGAACCTGAGGCCCTGAAGGAAGCTGCGTCCCTGACCCTGGACCCAACTTTCCAGGGCCGGCTCCTCAGCCCTGCAGCTTTGCCTCCTCGGTCTCCAGGTGAGCGAGGGGAGACCCAGGTACCCAAGAGTGTGAGGGCCAAGCTGCTTTCTCCTGCAGCGAGTCCCACAAGGGGTGGGGAGGGAGGTTCTCCCACTTAGCCCACCAGGGGTTATTCTAGGCAGCTGGAGGAAAACCATGGGAACCAGAATGGCCACTTGAGGAGGGAATCCTCTTCAACCGGATCGCATCTCCTTTCCCGCATCACAGTAGAGTTCAGATCCAAGAAAAGCCTGAGACGGGGGAGAGGTGAGCATTTCTAGAAGTTGCTGGCAAAGAAGTGACAGCAACACCACGCGAAGTGGCCGCACGGGAGCCATCACACCGGCACATGCTGAGCCCCCATGGGGAGCAGTCCTGCCCCAGAGAGTGGAGAAAGTCAGCAGGGAGACAAAACAGAGCCTCTGACCCTCGGTATCTAACACGATGCCAGCAGCCAAAGGCTTCAGGTGAAACTTCAGTGAAATGAGAGCAGGGAGCAGAACTCGGGACAAGGAAAAACGAGTCCCTGTGACAGCAGGAAGACAGCAGTGTGGGCCAGCCAGGCGGCTCCCAGTGTGAGCGAGCTCTGAGGACGCGGGCGGAGCGGCCCTGGGGGAGCTGGGCTGAGGCTTCGGAAGGAGTGAGTGGCCCCCGTGAGCTCCCCAGACTGGTTCGCTCATTTACACAAGTGTCAAACAACCGCTGCAGGTGCACGCACTTGTGGGGAAGACGAACGTCAAGTCTGCCAGAAGGAAAAGCTGGGGTTTCCTCCGACCATCGCACAGCACAATAAGCACAGCGGCCCATGAATAGGTAAAAGTTTAACAATCATAACAAATGTAAAACCGAGTCTTAAGTTATTTTATTTGCTTAATTATTTTGCTACGTTGACCATTAACCCCAGGGCCTTTCATGGGCTGGGCAAATGTTCTAGCCCTGAAATACATCCCCAGCACTAATAAAATTTTGTCAGTCTCAAAAACACACCAAACTCCCAAAGCTCTCACAAAAAGAAGAGGGTGAGAGAGACCGCAGTGGAGTCAGAACTCACAGTCACGCTCAGAGGCAGATCCAAGAGGCCGTGGGAGGGGTCACAGAGGCGCCCACGCTGCGCAGGGGTCTGGGAGCCCATCCTCCAGGTCAGTGGGAGGCAGAGGGAGAAGCCGAGGTACAGGCATCAGGCTGCAGCTGACAGCAAGCAGAGAGGATGAGGTCGGGGAGAGGAAGCCTGGGACAAGGCACAGTCCCCTCCGAGGTGGGCCTGGTCGTGAGGCGGGGTCTGCAGGGTCCCCGTGGCTTGAAGATGAGCGTTCCAGTTTCTCAAGTCCCTGAGGGAGGGGAGCATGAGGAACGCACAGGGGTGGGCGCCTCTGGACACAGGACCATGCAGTGATCGCAAGTCTGACACTGTGTGACAGGGGGCGGTGGAATATTTCACTCATTCCTGAATTGCATGAGTAGATTTTCTTCCTGAAAGTGGGGCCCTGACCAAAGCAAATACTGCCAACGGCATTTTGCACAGACAAGGCCTGTGCAGGAGTGTTTGTGCTGTTCTCTGCAGTGGCTGCACTAATGCCCATCCACCGATGTGTGCCTGGTGCCCTTGCCCACATCCCTGCCCGCATCTGCTGGCTTTTCTTTGCTACATCAGCCATTCTGACAATGGTGAGTGGAGACAACTGCACCTGGCCTCACTCGCATTCGGAATCTGCAAGGGCTGATCTGACTGAGGTAGAGAGGACAGAGGTGAGCGGAAGTGGGCAGGTGTGCAGGGATGGGGCTGAGAGGTGGTGGACAAAGGACACCGACACACAGCCAGAGAGGAGGGAAAGTCAGAGTTCCATTGGGATTCTTGGAAAACACTGAGAGAGTGGATTAAGTGTTATCACCATAAAAAGATTGTGCTGTGGGTAATGCATATTACAGTTAACAATCATGCTCCTCGTGGTACACAAACACAACTTTCAATTTAAAATAAATAAATACATATGAAATCATGTAACATTTATTTAAGCAAAACTCACCCTCCACATATTTTATGTCCCTTTTCACTGAAAATGTTATGGAGCATATTTCCCTCTCCTCCCAGTGTGTGCTCATGTGAGGAACAGGGTGAGTCCATGGTGTCTGCAACCACTCCAGGTCCCCCAGGAGCTGCTGGGTCCCAATCTCTAGACTCCAACCCAATCCCATCTGCACATCCTAGTGCACCCTTTTAAAATCAGATTGTCAAGTGCTGTCTAAACAAACAAGCACAAAGAAACACCAGAAGCCAGACATAATTTGATAGCACAGAACCAATAGTTTCTTTAGATTTTCATAATCTTCACAGTGTTTCTATTAAGAAAGCCAGGGCACGGCTTTCTCCTGATTTCCCTTTTGCTCTATTTGTCCAGGAGTGTGGTCAGAGAAAGCCTTCAGAATCTCTCCACAGGCTTGTTTCCAGATCCAAGTCCCCACTCCCCTGAGGAGCAGATGCCTGTGGAGCAGGATCCTCCCGCAGTGTCCTCTCTGACACAGCACAGCCTGGACGCGCCGTCCCTGCAGCTCTGTCCCTGCAGATTGGCGCATCCTGAGGGAGGTGGTGGGGAGCATCAGGCCCTGGCCTCAGGGGCCCCTGGCTCTGTCCTGGTGACCTCAGCTCTCTCTGGTGATGGCCCAAGGTGTCTGCTCCAGGTTCCTCTGCATTCACTACACAGGTGTGCGTTCTTTACCCCACTAACCAAGTGCAAATTGCGTGTGAGCTGTGATCACCCTTGGTCTGGAGAGGAGGACAGGGAGTCTCCATTCAAAGCTGACAGGGTGCCACAGGCCCCTTGACCTTGCTGCTGTGGACACAGGAGTTGAACCCTGTCCACAAAACTTCTCTCCTGCCACACTGTTTCTTGTGTGATTATCAGAACCATCCCATCGTGTGTCATCGTGGGGTTTTTTTTGTTAGTTTGCCTATTATTTATAAAGCAATCCATTTTAGAATGCGGAAATCGCAAGTTTCCAGGTGCCTTCTCTTCTGATATATTTTGTTAGTCCACGGAGCCTTCTCCAGGGCCCAACAGTGAGTGTGATTTCCTGCATTGTAGAGCAAGAAGGCTGAGAGTCAGGGTGGGGACATCCTCAAGGGTCACAGTGTCAGACCGACAGATGCAGATCCAGTGAGGATTGCTCTAGGTGCAAACCCTGCACCTAGAGAGCCCAGCGCCCACACCAGACGGCCACCAGGAAACACAGTGCCCATCCCCGACCTCCAAACCTCACTCTCCAAAGGAGGCTACTCTTCCTGTTTGGTTAGAAGTAACCTGCCTTTGACTCTGAGGACCACACTGCCGTAAGATGCTTCCCTTGTACTCAGCTCTGTTCTCCTGTTTCTCCCCTCATGTATCATCAACCTGGGCACTACTTCCCCAGTGCCTCTTCTCTCTCTCTGTGAAACTTTGGATGATATTTGCCCCGCGTAGGGGGGCGATATTTTTCTGATTCTCCAGAATGCTGACGACTATGCACCTGCAAGTGGATTCAAAGTCTGGATCTGTAATAGCTGAATCTAAATAATTGGCCATGTGTGACAACACAGGGTGCTCTTTCCTCATGCATGGCCTCCAGACACTGTGCTAGAGATCCCTTTACTTGATACAGTTGATTGGAGTTGGTCATAATACCGTGTCTCTATTTGCAATATTTTTCTCAATATTAAAGAAAAGTATTGCTCATAACATTCTATAAAACATCGGCTCATTTTATTCAGTCTTCAGACATTATGTTTCAAACTCTGGTATTTGTTTCTGAACCTAGTTTGTGCATATTCCTCCCGTGTATGACATATAAATTGTTCTTTAAAATGTGCCATGCAGGACAATAGTTGCTCTTATGGAACTTTGTGTTTCATAGTGCAGACTTCTGTAAAGATGAGATCAAAAGGACAGAAAGTGAGTAAGGAAGAGACAGCATAGTGAGGATGTCTTCATCTGCTTGGGCTCCATAAAAAACTACTGCCAAAGCTACAGTGCACAAAACCCAGGAAACACATAGGCAACTTCATGCCCATGAGGACAGCGAATATCAAACACAGCAGGAATAACGGAGCTGTCCAGCATGCTAACCCCTCGAGTGCCTGTGCACTGCTGCAGGAGGGAGGACAACAGCGCCGCCGCTGGGCAGAGGGGCACAGCTGTCCACCACAGCATTACCCTAGGGTCACCTTAGGATGTGGAAATGTCACTTCTGAGTCTACCCCCAAAGAAATGGAAAGCAGGGTCTCAAGATGTATTGGATACTGATATGCACAGCACCATTAATTAAAATAGCAAAACCATGGAAAAAATACGTGCATAGACTGAGAGATGAATGTGTAAACATATTTCAATATATGTATAGTATGAGCCTTAAAAGAAAAATTTAATGTATTTGTCAGTGTAGATGAAATTTTAGGATATGATCTAAGGGAAATGAGTCACTCACCATATAGTGAAAATTGTGTGATTCTACTTTAGTGTAATGAAAATCACATTGACACAGAGTAGAATGGGTTTTCCATGGTGGGCTGGGGTAAGGAGATATTTAATAGATACAAGTTGAGTTTGCAAGGTGAAAATTCAGAAAAAGGAAGGTGGTGATGACTGTACAACATTATCAATGGACTTAACTGCACAGAACTAAGCTGGTAAGGTAATAAGGTAACTGCACTGGTAAGGTAAAAAAATTTATGTATTGTGTATCTTATCATAAGAAAAACATAGAGAAAAGATAAGGAGAGAGGATTGCCTAAAATAATCTCCATTTGATGTTCACTTCCTGGCAGAAATAGTTCACAGATTCAAATGAATCTACTATATAAAAAGGAAACACTAATGATACAAGTGAGGAAAAACAAAGCAAAACAGGTATTTATCCTCAAAACCTGTCCCTTTCCTTCCAGGTATATTAAAGGTTGATGCCATGGAAAGAAAAAATACAAGTTTTCCCAGCACTTTTGTCCTGCTGGGCTTCTCGGAGTTTCCGTGGCTGGAGGTGCCCCTCTCTGCAGTGGTCCTGGTCTCCTACATCCTCACCCTGATGGGGAACAGCTCCATCCTCCTCCTCTCCCTGCTGGACCCCAGACTCCACACGCCCATGTACTTCTTCCTCGACAACCTCTCTCTGCTGGACCTCAGTCTCACATGCACCATTGTGCCCCAGCTGCTGGCCAACCTGTGGGGAACACAAAAGACAATTGCTGCCTGGGGCTGCATCACACAGGTCTATATGTTCACCTGGACAGCTTGCACAGAGTGCATTCTACTGGCCGTGATGGCCATTGATCGCTACGTGGCCATCTGCCGGCCCCTCAGGTACACTCTCATCATGCGTCCCTGGGTGTGTGTGCAGATGGCAGCTGCCTCCTGGTCCAGTGGCCTGGTGAATGCTCTGCTCCAAGTCACACTCACCCTCCAGCTCCCCCTCTGTGGGCACCACATCCTGGACCACTTCTTCTGCGAGGTGCCTGTGCTCATCAAGCTGGCCTGCGGGGACACCACTGCCAATGACCTGGCCCTCACCTTGATGACCATCCCATTTGCAGTGGTGCCTGTACTGCTGGTGCTCGTCTCCTACACCTTAATCACTAGGGCTGTCCTGAAGCTACCTTCTGCAGAAGGCAGGCACAATGCGCTCAGCACCTGCAGTTCCCACTTGCTGGTGGTCACCCTGTACTTTGGGCCAGGTACCTACTTGTACTTCCAGCCTTCAGTCAAGAGTTCCCAGGCCAAGTTCATATCCTTTTTCTACTGTGCTATCACCCCACTGCTCAACCCACTCATCTACACTCTGAGAAACAAGGACGTGAAGACAGCGTGGAAGAGGATGCTGCAATCCCAGGGCTGGCTGAAGTCTTTAAAGGCCAGAAGACCTCCGCCTGTCTTCTGAGCAATCACATGCACTTGTCAATGGGCCAACATATTACGCCTGCTTTTCCAGAAGAACTTTCACGAGTTTTGAGGAAGAGTTCCCAGTTCTCCACGTCAACCACCTCCATGACTATAAAAACTCTTTGGACCAGAATGTTCTATCATTTTCATCTTATAGACAGCCATGGTCCTTACTGAACCCTCCATATTTGCCTGGTCTCTATAGACAGAATGTGCAGCAGAGTTCATACATCACAAAATCAGTGAGCCCAGGTAAATAAAATAATTATGCACCTCAAGGTTCTAGAAAAACAATCCAAACCCAAATCTAGTACAAGAATGGAAAATACAGAGACCAGAGCAGAAATCAATGATAGTGGGGCAAAAAATTAAAAAAGAATTAATGAATTAAAGAGTTGGTTCTTCAAAAACAAACAAACAAAAACAGAACTAGACAAACCGTTAGGCAATCTAACCAAGAAAAGCAAAGACCCAGTTGATGCAATTAGAAATGAAAAAGGTGAAATCACAATGGACACTGCCCCCCCCCAATCCCATCATTAATATCTACTTCACAAATGTGTACACCAATAAAATTGAAGAATTCAGAAAAAATGGATAGATACCTAGATACATGCAAATTACTAACATTGAACCAGGGAGATTTAAAATCCCTCAAAGATCCAATAAAATTAAAGCAATAAAATTAACCAAATTTCAGAATAAAATTACATCAGTAAAATTGAAACAGTAATAACCTATCAAAAAAAGACCAGGCCCAGATGGGTCTACTGCTGAATTCATCAAAACTTCACGGAATTCACTGGTGAGGAGGTAATATGCTATTTTTGACAACCCTTAGGCTGTAACTAGTTAATAGGTCCCTCTTACATATCTCTGTCTACCTGAGAAACCACTCTGAAGATACCACCATGTATTACAGCAGCCATTGATATTTTCCTACTAATCTATCCATAACTGTGTAAAGTTTGTAATGTTCCTATCCTATTTCATAAATGGATGTATGTTTATTATTATGTGTTTCCTACAACAACCATTGAGAATAGTTAATGATTTTTCAATAGGTCACTCATGTATAGCTCTATTTATTTTCTTTAGAAGCCACTTTGAAGATACCAAAGTATAGTACAACAACTCTTGATAATCTCCTACCTCTTTTGTCTGTAACTCACTATTATTTGTCTATTTGTTTTCCTGAGAAACTATTTTGTAGACAATAATATGTAAAATGGTAACCATTGATAATTTCCTACCATTTTGTCTGTAATTTGCTAAGTCCCCCCTATTATTATGTTATCCTTCTTTTATTCTTTAAAATAAAAAAAAAAAAACTTCACGGAAGTTCTAACCCCAATATTCCTCAAAATATTTAATGAAATTGAAAGATAAGGAGTATTCACAGTCGTTCCTGGAGGGTACCATTACCCTGATTCCAAAACCAGATAAGGATTCAACCAAAGAGGAGAATTATAGACCCATTTCTTTAGTGACTAGAGATACAAAAATCTTCCACAAGATACTGGCAAACTGAATGCAGTCAATCATCTAACAGAGATTGTACATACCACCAAGTAGGCTTCATCCCAGAGGTACAAGGGTGTTTCAAAATATACATGTTGATCAATAAATCTAATCCACCTCACAAACAGAATCAAGGACAAAACTCACATGAGCGTCTCAACACACATGTAAAAAGCTGGTAGCAATGTACAACAGCCTCATATGTTTAAAAATACTGAAGAAAATAGCTACTGTGAGAGTTAACTCACTGTGTCTCCTTGGGTAAGTAACACCCAACTGTTGGATCAGTGTAGTTCTGGGAGTGGAAGACCCACTCCAGGGGGCATTATCACCAGATTGGTATAAACCGGAGACAAAGAAGGAAGGATGACTTCTGTTTCTTTGGAGGAGCTCCAGTCTTCACTTTCACCTTGGACGTCATCTCCTGGTTTCTGGTGCAGACTCTTCAGCCTCCAGCCCTGGCCTTCAGCCTTCTGGCATGGATCCTTCATTCAGCCTTCCATCGGAGACCCTTCGGCCTCCTGATGTGGATTCCCACGGACACTACACTGAGCTCCAGGCCTTTGACAGCATACAGATAAACCCTCTGCACTCTTCCACACCTGACTCTGGCTGACCATTGTAAGCCAGTCTTGTAAATTCTTATATATTTGTAAATCTTTGTTACATCTGTTTCTCTAGTAAGACTGACTGATACAGATTTTGCTACCAAGAGTGGCTCTAGAGAAATAGAATCATACAGATGAAATTCTTTAATGACTTTGGTAGTTCTTGGAGTCAGCTCTCTAATTTGATGAGACCTAAAGATGCCATGGTCTCTCCTTCTATTACTGCAGGGAATGCTCCTAGGCATGAACTGTTTAAAGCAAATACACAGTGTAGATCCATTAGATTACCATAACTCACCACTTGTGAGATGTAAGAAATTTAGCAACTCCACACATGAATGTTTTGAGCTTGCTTTGTTTTGTTTTGTTTTTGTTTTTTGTACCAGGAATCGAACTCACACTGTTTTGAGTATTTTTGCTGAATGGAAAACATAATGATGTTGACTGGTTGGTTTTAGCATCTCTGGACAAATTAATGAAGGAAAAGAAACCAAAGAGCTCAAAACAGCCATAGGAAATCTAAAGTCTTCTAAGTATGAGGACAAATTAATAAAGGAGAATAAGGAGCTCAAAGACCCAAATTCCCAACTCTGGACACACACAAAAACTTAGAAGTTTGTAAGTGCGTCCTGAAAGAATATCTCCTCTCCTTTAACACCAAGGCTGAGGTTGCAGAAGCCCTAACAAGGTCCCTCATAATCCCACTGGCTGACCTACAACATAAGTTTAATGCTTAGCCTGGAAGGGCATCTGAAGTAAAGGTGAGGATGATGATCAGAAAAGAATCAGATCCTGTAAGCTGAAATGGAAATGTTTGGGAGGATCCTGATGAGGTTGAAGGTGTCGAGCTCCTAGACTCTAATAAGATTATTTTGCCAAAGGAAGAGATTTCCCCACCCACAGTGATGGATGCCTCCCCACCCCACCCCCTGGGCTACTGGCCTCTCCTACACCTGGGGAACTAATCTTGTGTTGACTGAGCATGATAATGCTGACACTTCTCAAGACACACCCTCACCACCAACTTCTGTCCTTAAGCCTCCTACCAGGCTCAAATTGTAGAAAGCTCCTAAGAGTGAGGTACACAGTGCGACCCATGAGGAGCTCTGTTATTATCCCAAAGAACTTCTTGATTTTTCTAAGTCTTATGAACAGAGGCCTGATGAACAAGTGAGCGAATGGATTTTATGGGTGTGGGATCATGGTGGCACAAACATACACCTGAATCAGGATATTTGCCTATGTGGGTGCATTAACCAGAGATTTTGAATTGAATGTTGCAGCTCATGGAGTAGAGGAAGCTGTTAATGGTTTATTTGGCATCTTGGCAGAAGTATGGATCAAAAGATAGCCCACTGTGAATGAGTTTGAGAAGCCTGATATTCCATGGTCTACTCCTCACGAGGGAATTCAGAGGTTTGGGGAAATGGGAATGCTGGAATAGATTTGTCATGTCAACCTAAACTGCCACCCAGGGATGGTCCAGAAAATGTACCCATGTGCTGTGTGCCCAGTGTGGAAAGATTTAGACTCACTGTGTCAGAGTCTCTGCACACAAATAGTCCCCATAACACTGTTCACAACAGCCAAAATATGGAGTAAAACTATGCAGAATGAACAAATGGGTAAAGAAAATGCACTTTGTATACACAGAACACTAATGATCCTTTAAACAAAGATTTTTTCACTTGCAACAACTGGGGTGGAATCCGAGAAAACTGTACCAAGTGAAATAAATTAAACACAGACCAAAAACTACAGAATATTGTCTCTCCCATGAGGACTCTGAAGCCCTTGCACCTGTAGATTACAATCTCCAGAGACTGGTGACTGAGTGAAACAGGAAGACAAAATTAAAAGAGTAAAAAGGCTCACTTAGCTGGAAGAATTCATTTAGATATTTTTAAAGTATCTGTTACACATACTGGGTTTAAGTATATTTTCATCAAATTCTGGAGCTGAATGTTCGGTACATTCAGGTTTTGGAAGACTCTCCAATTGAATTTATGGCTATATTCAGAAGCAATTTTCAAATTAACCAGGTGCATAAGATTTGCATTTGATCTAAAGTCATCAGTATTCTTCATTAAATAAATCTGAAAAAGTGCTCCTTTCCATACCTTTCTCAATTATGGAATTCGATCCTAGGTGGAGAAGAGAACTAGAAGGAAGACAAGCACGGCAGATTCACAGACACCAAAGGATGGGAGGGAGGTGTTCCGAGCCCATCGTACTTGTCCTGAGGGAATCAGGTGACGCTGCCTTCAGCTTCTCCTACCTGTGCTCTCTTTGCTCTTTCAGAGCACTCTGGGATAAATGATGCTTTTAAATATCCTGTATTTGATGGGGACTTTTGTCCCATAAAGGAAATCCTCCTAGCCATGTATGGCATGGATGAAAGGAATGAGATTTATCACAAGCAACCAGAGAAGGGGATGAGAAAGAAAACTGGAGATCGCCCCTGGCTCTCAGACAGGCATGTGAGGAAAGGCCGCAGGGGGAGCTGGAGGGCGCCTTCTACAGTATCCCTGAGCCAGGGTCTTCTGATTTCTCTGTGCTAATTCTCATGCAGCCCTTGGGACTTCCCAAAGTCATTTCATTTAAGACTGAAGAACTGATAAACATACACAGAAGATCACATCAAACTAAAGTGTGTCTAATCAGCCAAGGAAGTCATCAACACTGGAGAGGTGATTTACACAAAAGAAGATTTTTTGCATTCTAGTCTTTGATAATAGTGTAATATGCAGATTATAAAAGAGACACAGAGAAGCCAACAGAAGAGAAAATTCTGACTCAATCGTGAGTTCAAAAACTGGATATTTTCAAATATAAACACTTAAATGGACAGGCATATGAATAAACACTC